AACTGCTTAAGTACTTCTCCCCCAACAGCCTTGGGCGCGGTCGGATCCTCTCCCGCGCGATCGGTTGAGGCGGTCGGTCTCCTCGCGCTTCCTTCAACTTCGTGGCCTTGGCAAGTATGGCCTGATCCTGTACTTCTTCCTGAACCTCTCCCCTCGCCTCCAATTCGGCTCGGTCGAGGTCTCCCCCCTTCGGCTGCGGCCCCAAACCCGCCTCAAACAATGCAGACGGCTGAACAAGCTCGTCCCATTTGGCCTTCTCTCTCCCCCTCCACTCCTTCACCCTCTTCACCTTCTCTTCCGCCGCTGCCCCCAGTCTTGGCTCCATCGACCTAATGGGCACCTTCCAGATAGTGCGTACCCCCCGTCCCCCATTGCCAGACACGTAGAACCACCGTGGCCGCCATCCCTTGATCGATGTCGGAAGCCCCGCCACCAATCCCCTCCCCATCACTGCCTGTAGGGTGACCCATGTCTCCTGCTGCCCCGAAGCTTTATAACAAGAAAAGAACTCGTCCACCGCCATGGCTTCCCCTCCATTCGCCTTGGGCCACGCGCTAGCACAAGCCAGCAGAATCTTCCACGCATTGGGCATCAATTGCCCCGGTGCTACTTCCAGACGGTTCAGCACGTCAACCACCACTTGGGGCAGTGGCAACCTTAGCCCTCCTTTTAGCGCCTCCTCATAAAGGGAAAACTCCCCTGGGCCTGGCATCAGACGGCCTTTCCCTTGACGTTGGCAGCAACAACTCCACCTCCGTCGGAATCTGGTATTTTTCCCTGATAGCCTCCAAATCTGCCACCGTAATTGTGGATTTGTCAGCCTTAGTGTGCCAATGATCCGGCTTTACCTGGCTTATTGGTTTTGGAGCCACTATCATGGCCGACGCCTGCGCTTGTCCCACCGGTTCCCCACCCCCACCATCCGTGCCTCCGTCCTATATTGCGCTACTAGCTCTTCTGCATCATCGTCTCCCAGAGGGTCCACCCTCACATTCCCACTTTTTCTTGTGCCATTTATAGGGTTTGCTTACAAATCACTTCTGACGCAGGAGCAAAGAAGTTGAGAAAATGCTACACAGGTATGTCGTGCGCAGTGAAGGAATTAACACTTGGGTATCTTGAGTTTTTGTCAAAAGGTAAGTGAAACGAATTATACCAACAACCCACGGTTTACCCGTATTCCATGGATCCACATTAATTTTCACCCGTTTCAAAACCTTTCAAACCAACCGCCAAAACCGCCTTTTCAAAACCCCCCTTGCAACCTATCGTTTCATTTCTGCTCCAACGCTTCACTTCCCCCACGATATTGCCACATGTATGGCCACGATGCACTGTCCCCTCCCCTTACCCTGTCCTTTCCATTTCACATCATCACCTGGCACCACCCCCCCTCTTTTTGAGCCCCGTGCCGCCCTGGTCGGCACGCCTCACGGTCGACCCCTCCCGCTCGGCCACCCTCGCGGTCGGCACGCCTCACGGTCGACCCCTCCTGCTCGGCCACCCTCGCGGTCGGCACGCCTCACGGTCGACCCCTCCCGCTCGGCCACCCTCGCGGTCGGCACGCCTCACGGTCGACCCCTCCCGCTCGGCCACCCTCGCGGTCGGCACGCCTCACGGTCGACCCCTCCCGCAAATCGCACACCTAGCGATCCCGACCGGCTAACGAGATACGCTCTCACTCGAGGATTCGCAACTTACCTCATTCACCTAAATTTAACTTATTCTGCGATTGAAATAAAGAAATGCACTCTGAAAGGGGTGGAAACTTACTGAACATTTTGGGATTACCCCACCAGGATTAGGCCACAGCAAACAACCCCAAACCCATCGCTTGAGACCCATAGCATAACCCGGTTGGCAAAGCTCAGGACATGGAGGCCACCTGGACATGGAGGCCAAAGGCATCGGACACACGGCAGGAAACACAGGCCACATCACAGACAAAGATCTGCAGAGTTATTGCCACAACACATCACCATTAAGCAGCATCACAGCATTTATTACGACAACACCTCCCCGTCGGAACAGAGCCCCCTCACCCTGAACAAGGTAAGCTACGGCACAGGCTTTCGGCGGAACGGGGCACGTCACAAGAGACAGTGAAATGATTACGAAAGGATATAAGCAAATGTGGAAGACAAGAAGAAGGTTAAGCTTTCCTATCTCTCTCTCTCTATATATATATATTTCCTTCTTCCACTACTGATTCGCTCGCCGGAGGGTTCACTGGGGGACTACCCCGTTCCCCTTTGGACTTGCTTGCAGGTCATCTGGTGGAATCATCCGCCTGAATCGGAACTTGAAGAGCTTGGACCAGCCCGACCCATCCACCCAGGACGGACTGCATTATCAAGATGAAACAACAATTAAAATCCACATCACATCATTTTTTCTTGTGAATTATGTACATAAATTTTGTTTGTATATATCATTGCCCTTCTAATAATTAACAAAACAACTAGCCAACCAATCGTGTTTTAGTCTTTTTATTTTGGGAGAGGATTGTCTCTCATAGGATATTGTTTGGCCCGTGAAATTTACTATGGATTCTATTTTTATAATTTATATCAGTCTTTTTATGTGTAGATTATTTAATAAAAGAAAATTAGTTTAGATTGTTAAATAACACCTGTGATAAGTTTTAGGAGAACTAATGCCCTCAATCTAACTACACAATGGATGAAGACTTGCTTTTAATTTTATTTTTTTTATCAATCAATATAAAATAATTTACAAATATAAAAAAATTCAACAATATATTATCACAACTATGTAATACACCTAACAATTACACAACTCATGTTTAATCGAAGTCAAAATATAAAAAAATTCAACAATATATTATCACAACTATGTAATACACCAAACAATTACACAACTCGTGCTTTAATCAAAGTCATAATATGCAGGTATGATCACACACACACACAGAGAGAGATAAGTGAAATAAGATCATGAATAATTTATTTTTATTTTTTTTTTTGGGGAGGGGGTTATTTTTCCATTTTTTAAAGGAAAAAAAGGAAAAATAAATACAATGTAATAAAAAAGGCCTAACCCTATAGGGGTTATCCTTTGGTGGTATTAATCAGTCTCTGAATTCATGTAGTGATAAGTCATGAATTCGTATAAGATTTACACCAAACAACCATGTTGATGCTTTAGGAGGTTGCCTTCATTACTCGAACAGAGAACCTTAGGATTAATACCAAAGTCCTTACCACCAAACTACATAAAAAGAAAAATCACAAAGTAGTTACAAAATATTGAATAATGAAATAGACAAAGAAAGATTTCCATGTAATGAAAAGTAGCAGCATGAATGGTATGAATGGAAAGAAATTCTTCACGACTGATTTATTAGTTTTATATTTACTTGAAGAACCGAAATATAAGATGAGCCAATGGTGAGTGTCTTAAAATTTATTTATAGGTAAAACAAAAAATACAAGGAGAGGAGGAGTTTATTACATGAACTTATTAAACTGCATATTTTAACCTAAGATTCCTATCTAAAAATAAATAAATAAGTAAATTCACAAGGATTTGCTTTCTTGATTGTAGATTTATTCGTGTAATATTTTACGTAAAAAGATTTATGTAATAAATACTCCTTGATATATTACACTTAAAAAGATTTATGTAATAAAGGGGTACTTTTTCATAATTCTCTTTTCATCTACTTATATTCCATTTAGTCCACATTATTTTTTTTTGAGTGCTACTATTAACACCTCATAAATTATTTTGGACCCCCTAATTTTTAGCTCTTTTTTTTAATTACGATAATAACCTCAAATAAAATTACTATAAAAGATATCATTAATTTTACATCTCATCTCACAATTAAACTTACATACCCACTACATCATGAGTTAGGATTTATGAGAGCACCCACCTCCATCACCACCCATATATCTTTTCCAAATCTCACCTTCAAAACCTACCTACCGTCAAAACTTTGAAAACCCTTTGATGGCAATATTTTGACGGTAACGGTGACAATTATTTGATTACCTGCACTTTTCTGACAATGACAATGAGTGGAAGTTTTTCTGGCAACCACAACTCCATAAGGCGAGAAAAGTATAACAATAAAAATTTAGAAGAGATTTATAATTTTAATGTTGTTTTTAGCCCAGAAGAGATTGGTGTCAATCTCAATATTTTCCTCATGCCGAGATTGTTGCTGGCTTCCTGCTCAAACATTTGTTGATAGAAGAGTTCGATTCTAGTTTAGTGGGTAAGAACGGTGATTAGACTCCCTAATGAATAATTGATAACCAAGAGCTTCCTAAGTGGACAGTGCTCTTCTACTTGAGTCATGAATGCCGAGATTGTTGCTGGCTTCCTGCTTAAACATTTGTTGATAGAAGAGTTAGATTCTCTTTTAGTGGTTAAGAGTGGTGATTAGACTCCCTAATGAGTAATTGATAACCAAGAACTTCCTAAGTGGACAATTCTCTTCTACTTGAGTCATGAGATACTACAATTCTTTACCAACGTTTAAACACCATTTTTTTGTTGTATGCATCTCTAAAAACAGTTAATTATGTCGTTTAGGACCCATCATGATAATAAATAAATAATTATTGAAATGTTCTTCACTTCCTTCTTTAAGGACAGGAATTATGGGCAGGAAGGTTGGTGTCTAATACAGAAACTTCAAAAAGATTATGTAAAACAAGTAGTGTGGCAATTATAAAGACAAAAAATTGTATATTAGAGTTACGATGGCCCTATTGTCTTTACTCAACAAATTTTCATTTTTTGTAAAAAATCTGTTAGTATGTATCAAAGAATTAGATTGTTGAGGGGATTATGTGAAGCTCACTTATCTGTTTCATAACCAATATTTTGATATTTCATATTATTAAAGTTATGGATGTGATGTTCAAAATTGATATTATGTTGGATATCTTTGTCTCCACTCATGGACTTGTTGGCTATTTGCATTGTTCGTAATTTTCTTTTTTTCTCATTTTGTTTTTAGGTGAGAGATGAACTCGAGCATCTGTTAGATGATGACAATGACATGGCTGAAATGTATTTAACAGAGAAGTTTGCTGGTCACTCAATGGACCACACATCCTTAAAGGAGGAATTATATGATGAGGCACTTGAGGATGATGAAGACAGGTGATTACTGATGCAATAAATTTATCTTTCTTAGAATAATTATTAATTTTCACATTTAATGCATGATAGGGAGTGTACCGGAGTATGAATTATTTGAGGAAAAGGTTGATTGGTTGTATATGGGTGGATGGGCTTTAGAGGTAGTTACCATGTCTTATGGGTTGGACATGTGAAAAGGCATTCGAAATGGGTGAGATGTATTTTTTCAGGCACATTCAGTTTGTGGTAGGTTTTGGAGCCATGTGTAGTGTGGAGAGGAGGTTGGATGCATGGTATCCTAATATTGCTAGTATTGGGGTAGTCGTTATTGAGTATCTCAAGGTAGATGGTAGTCATGTATTTTGGGATATAGGTATCCCTAAGAAAGCTTAATGATTAGGAGATAGGGGAGTTGATGGACCTCTTCAGGCGTCTTTATGCCATTCATCGTGTTGGTGATGGATGGGATGCTCTCTGACGGTTGAAATCCAAGTCTGGAGGGTTTGAGGTAGAATCTTTTTATGAGATCTTGGCGGATCAGATGAGGATTATATTCCCTTGGAAAAGTGTGTGGGGGCACAAAATAGTTCACAAAACAGAGTGATTATTTCATTTGTTTATTTAATAAATAATAGTGTGACTAAGGTGGTGTTTGATAACTTACGTGCTGTTTGATACAACTGAAAACTAAATATTGAAACCTGAAATTGAAAATTAACTGTTGAATTTTTTAATCTAAAAAGTTGTGTGGTGTGTACAAAAACTAAATTCTTTAATTAAATCAAGTTGTTTAATATGTATAAGAAGAGATTTTTAAATTTTTTAGTTTTCAAATTCTTTTCTTTCACTTTATATTGTGGTGTTGAATTGGTAGTGACATAGTGTTGGTGGTAGTGTGGTGGTGAGTGGTAGCGGTTGTATTGTGGTGGGGTGGTAGAGTAAGGGAGGTGGTGGCAGCGGCGGCGGCAACTGGTGGTAGTGGAATGATGATCCAGATTTAACAGTAAGCTACATGTGACGTTGGCTATTGTGATAATCTTGAACATTTCATAGAATAGAACTGACCTTGAACAAATCAGACTGGAATACGACCAAGTTTATCTAATAAAATTGACGTAGGATATGATAAATACAACTAGAATTACAATGTCATTTAACTTGCAGTTATATCTCCATGTGGAAACGTTTTGCTGGTTGTGTATTTACTTATTCTTCATGGTACTTCATTTTCAGGGGTGAAGAAACTAAGTCTCAACACAGCTATGAAACTTATACTGGAATAAAGCCCAATATTGAGGAGCTGGAGATGCTTTTAGAAGCCTACTTTGCACAGATAGATGGCATCTCACAAAAACTATTCCATGTATGTTCCTCACCATTTTCTTATTTAAGAATTAATATTTTTGTTGGCATTGCTGCTATTTTTTTTTTTCAAAACTGTTTTTGCCAAGTATAGGTAAAATTGACAACATTGCTCACTTCCAAACTTGATGCAATTATCAGAATTAACCATCGGAAATTGCAAATGTCATAAAAATTAAAGAAGTTTGTTTATTATAATGGTATTGGTAATCTAGTTCAATCAAACATAAAAAGGAGAAAAAAGAAAATGTTCAAACATTTATGTGGTTATAATCAGTAAGGAAAATTTCAAATTGAAACCAGTCATTTTATTAAGGGGAATACTGAAAAAAAACCAGGGGTTAATTTAAGGATTTATCCAGGAATATAATGTTCATTAAGATCTTGCCAAGTACTTAGTATTACAGGTGAGAAAGGAGTTTTAAATTTTGGCTTATAGCTTTCACAAAAACCAAACAGATTTGCATTGCAAGACACTGCCTTTCAAGCAAGCTAGAGAAGAACAAAATCTAATGGACAGTGCTTCAACCTTTTTGGAAAATTATGGTGTAAATCTATATGAATCAACCTTCAAAACTATTGTAACTTCAGAACTTAAAAGACTAGCACAAACAAAATCCCAAATCTTTCATATAGAGACTCTCTTCTAGAACTCACTCATTTCTTTTATGCTGTGTTTGGTTGGGATTTTTGGGATGGGATTTGGAAAAGGAATGAGAAATGTAATCCTATTTATGTTTGGTTATAATAAAAAATATATGAGAAAAGAAAGGGGGTGAGAAATAAATAAAGAAATATGAGACCTTTTAGAACATCAATTCTATTTTATAACCAACACAACCAAACATAGTTGGGATTTGGAATTCTATTAATTCTTTCTCCTTTTCCTTTCATTTCCATTTCCCTTTCCATTTCTCTTCCTAAATCCCCCAACCAAACACAGCGTAAAGATACTCTTACCCTTTAGAGGTGCCAGTCTACTATTTTGCAATTTCAACTAACCATCTATCTCTCCTTCTCTCTCTGTCCATTCTCTCCCTCTGTGTCGCTTCTACTAAAATTTACAGGATAAAGGCCTTGTTTTGTTCGGGGAGAGGTGACTTATAAGTGTCACAAAAGATTTATTTTATTTTGATCTGTAGTGAAGGCTGCCCACAAATGCAGGGGCTTTAAAGGGAAAGTCATTAAAGTATAGACTTTAGGTCCCATTTTAGAAAAGATCTCAATCTTCCTAACATAATCAAAAAAGTAATAATACAATTTTTTGCCTTTTTTTTTTAAAAAAAAAGGCCCAGTTTAGATATGGCATTTACAAAACTCAAAAAAAAAAAAAAGAAAAGGCCCCTCACCTATTGATTCAGAAAAGTTCTGCACTAATTTGCTTAGTGAGATGTACGGATTATTAGCCAATGGGCTAGCTCCGTTCTTTCTTTTTTTTGTTGAGACAATTACAAAAAAAAAAAAATTTACAGGGTTTGAACCTTGTAACAAAATAATTCTTGAGTTTTTAATTTTGTCAATTTAAATTCTCAATTTTTTACTTGTTTTCAATCCAAATCATTTGTCTATTTCTATTAAGTAAAACTGACGAAAATAGACAAATGGTTTAAATTGAAAACAAATCAACAGCTTAGGATTTAAATTGACAAAATTAAAAAGTCATTGTTTATTTTGTTACAACATACAAGACTCAAACTGTGGGATTTTTTTTTTTTTTTTTTGTATTGGCCCTTTTTTTTTTAAACAAAAGTTAAATACATGCAAGTAGAAAGCTAAACTAAATAGTCGAATGTCCATTATGATAGAGTGGCTAATCTCTGATTTATCAAATGCTAGATAGTTCTAACTTTCAATTCCCTCCATCTTATCGAGTGAATTTACTCTTCTCTCTTTTCGTGTCTTCCTATTTGGAATTTTCTTTCTACCTCTTCTACTTACACGAAAACATTTGACTTGTTATTGTGCTAAGATAAGTGAGTATGTCAACGACACGGAGGACTTCATTAACATCATGTTGGATGAAAAGCAAAATCAGCTGCTACAAATGGGAGTGATGCTGAGTACGGCAAATATGATAATGAATGCAGGTATCGCGGTTGTAGGGTTGTTTGGGATGAACATTGAGATCTCTCTCTTTTCTAGTCCAACCATAAACTTCTGGGAAACTGCTATTGGTACCGTAGGAGGTTGTGTGGCTTTGTATTTGATTGCTGTAGGGTGGGGTAAGAAAAAGACCCTCATATAGAGAAGGAAAAAAAAAAAAAGGCTTGTTGTGGGTGTTTAATTTTATCTCATATGATTAGTATGTCAGGAATTGAAACACTTGTAACTGAATTTTTAATGATTGAAAAGATTCTTGCTACGGACATGATAAGAATTAACAGTTTGTGTTACCTGCTGAAAATACATCTATTTGATATGTATATATTCAAAAGTCGAGTTTCTTTTGCTCTTCAAGGTAAGTTCTGAAAAGTATAGTTTGAGGTGTCGTTCTCTGAGCAGTAACTGATTGAGTAATAAAGATGCTCATGATTTGTGTTGTTTATTTATTTACATTATCCTAAATCTAAGGGTTAATTACTAGCCAGTCCCATTAAATGAAATTAATTAACTCCTCAATTGTCTATATTACCCTAGTTAAATATTTTATCTTCTCTTCTCTTCTCTTCTCTCTCTAATATTTTTGCGGAGAATTTCTTTCTCTCTCTCTCTACCATTTCTGAAGCCTCACACCACTACCACACATCGCCACTGCCACCACCATCTACTACCGCCATCGCCACCGTCCACTGCTGTCACCACCACTGTTACCGTTCACCAACCATCTCCACCGTCACCACTCACTGTCATTCACACACAAAATAGTTCTCATCAGTGATAATTTTATCACTAAAAATAATTATTGGTAAGGCCTTTTCTTTCCCACTTCATCCATCTCTTTACTCTTCATACCCCTGTTCATTTTCTTTTGTCACTACCAGATATGAGGAAGTGGTGGTAATAGTGACATGGTGAAGATGGACATTGAGTTTTTTCAAAAATGGCTAGAAAAGTATTGTCAAAAACTATCACCGGAGGTCAAGACAGCAGCCGGATATGATCGCCGAAGGTGGTTGCCAGAAGTTACCAGCCGGAAGTGGTTGCTGGAGGTCGTTGGTGGCCGACGGTGATTGCCAGATGTGTTGCTACTGATGATGGAGTAATGAAATGATAATGAAGGGTATTATAGGGATATTGCTAGGTAAAATGAAAAGGAAATTTTCTATGGAGGTGATGACGAATGGGTTTTGACAAAGATATTCCCCCTTGTGTCTCTATTATGAAATTTCATATTTTTTTGGTACCAAGAAGCAAGAATTGGATCACATTCTCAAAAAAGAAGCAAGAATTGGATCCCAATGATAGCGAGTTACAAAACACATGCAAATAATGAGGGAATAGTGGAGGTATGATGGCTACCAACACCAAGGAACTGACCTTTAAACTCCCTTGACACTTCCTGGTAATAGACTATTTAGTTAATTTTTTGAATTTTTTTTTTTTTGCTGTTTTAGCCTAACTAAAAAAATTATGTTTGGGATAATAGTTGACTCTTTTTTTTGGTAGTTGATAACAGTTGTGAGAAAAAAAATAAAATAATTATAATTTAAATGTGACGTTTTGTCTTATTAGCTATTTTAACTTATTTTGTCTTTATCAACTATTTTAACCTAAGCCCAACTTTCCAAACAGGGCCGACAATGAGTGCTTTTTTAAAATCTGTTTGTTAAATTATCACAACGATTAAATTATTAGAGAAATTATGGCACAATTTTTTCGTGTGGATTTTTTTTTTTTTTTTTGAGAAAAAACTTTATTGATAACAAAGATAGATGAATGTATCAGTCAATGGTTCAACCATTACAATTACAGTGACAACATTGATAATAAAGTCGCATGTTTAACATGCAATTTTGCATTGATGTAAATTCAAAGTCTAAAATCACATATCCAATTTATGAAACCTTTTGTCTTGTGATCTTCTTCACCAGTGTCGACAATGAGTATGTTTGATCAATTATGTTCCCTCTCAATCTCCATTCTCACAATCTCTCTATATATGTGCCTCAAATATGCAATTACAATCCAATATAATTAAATACAATTAAAAAAGAAGGGATAGTAATCGAAGGACGGGTAATTTAAGAATAAAAAAATTGTTAAGATTTGGCATAAAAAAAAAAAGTAAGTTTCACAACTCCAAATCTAACATTTGCTTTATATATAGTATAGACATATAACTGTCAGATAATAACTACAAATTTTCTCCGGTCATGCTACAATACACACCCTTTTTTAGAGTGTATACCATATGCTAGTATGACATTTTGTGATGTTGATACCACAAATATCATAACTATTTTACTTTTAATTATAACTAAAAAAAATAGAATGAGTCATAATCAAATATTACTTAAAGACAACCAAAGATCTTTCTTGTCATAACTAAAATAATAATCACATAGGTCGTAACCAATATTACAACCAAATAATTACTTGAGAAGTCTAAAAAGTAATAGTCATGTCATAACTCACAACACAATAAATCAAAACAAAGACTAAAAAAGTTACAACTGACATGTATATATACAATCACCTAGTCTTAACATAATTGGGGAGTTGGTAAATTTTTGAGTAAATTAGAAAGACTTTCTAGACTTGTTATTGTATTCCAATATTAGTAATCTTTTTCACCTCATTAAAAAAAAAAAAAAATCCAAAAGCGAACCTCAATATACACCTGAATTGAATTGGATTAGCTTAAACTTAAAAACTCAAATTTGAAAGTCAAAAGTCTACCGTGATCATGAAAATTTTCCCAACAATTCTAGAAATCTCTAATTACATATAGGCAGGTAAGTTGATGTGAAGGATTTACTCTTTACATACCACGTTGCAGATAGTAAGTATATTTTAAAACACAAAAGAGAGGGGCTAATCAAACAAGAAAAACAAAAAGGAAAGCAGTATGGGTTTCGATCACTATGCATGTGATGTGATTGCAATTACCTTGGAATTTGCATTGCGAGATGATGTTTCGAAAATGTTGACAGACAGGTTGCAGTCAGAGGGAAGAAGTGGCAGTAATGCTACAGAACCCCAGTTGGGGTGACCTCCAATAACTCCCAATGCCACGTGTTGACCTGGGATTAGCTGGAAACTCAAAAAAAAAAAAAAACTAATAATAATTTCTTACAATATTTTCAAATTTATTATTTTCATGTTGAAGATTTGTAATGAAACCAGAAATTTGAATAAGCAAAATGCTTCAAACCCCCACTGAGGGTCGACCTCCAGTGAGGTGTAGCTCCATGATTGGGTAAAAAAAAAAAATTTTTTTTTTTTTGAGTTTTCAACCAGTGGGGGCGCGCCACGTCACTGGGGGCGCGACCCCCCCTACTGGCGGTATGCAGCGGGACTGAAAGCTTTATTTGAAGAAGTGGCCCTTCTTCACTGTTTCTCTTTTTAATTTCTACATTTTACAACCACAAAAAAAGGGCAACTCTGATGAGAGATAACATCCCAAAATATAAATTAAATTAAATTAATTTTTTTTTTTTAAAAAAAAAAGGGAAAAGAAAAGGAAGGGGGAGTAGTAAGTTTTATATTTTAATGATTTGACGCACCTGACTTGGTTTTTTAGCAGCAGCTTGGGTCAAAGATGAATTTATCATCTATGTCGACACGAGGAATGTGAGAAATCAAGCGCCAATATCGGCCTTTCCCCTTTTGACACCGTCGTTTTAGTATCGGACATCCTTTGATCTCCAACCACAAAAGCAGGGGAGGCAACCCTTGCTTCGGAAACGATGCAAATTTAGGGCAATCGTTGATCCAGAGATGCAAAAGCGAGGGAGGCAACCCTTCCTTTGGCAAAGAAGTGAGTTTACAGCAATTGGTGATGCGAAGTGTTTCAAGAGAGGTGAGGTCTTGAAAGTCCTTGAAAGATAGCTTCTCTAGATTTGGAAATGACAGGATGGACAGGTAGGTCAGAGAGGTGGGCAATAACATTCCATCTTCTGAAATGGACTTCCAACGGTAATCTTCTGAACCAACAAGACAGAGTGTTCTAAGAGAGGGTAATCTCTGCAAACTCCACTCTGATGGAGGCTTACCGAAGCAATTCCTACTGATCATGATCGTGTTGATGGAAAGTGAACGGAGGTTCGTGAGAGAACTCCAGTTGGAGACAATTCCTGCAGGGCAGTACCATAGTTCCAGCTCTTGAAGAGAACTGAGGTTGTATGGTAGGGCCTCGAGCTTTTCACAGTTCAAGATAAGCAAGTCTCTCAGATTCGATGTGGCAAACCGTAGGGACTCCATGTTTTCACAATGTACTATCTTCACTAGGCTGAGATTTTTGAAGTCATTATTGTTGCTGCTATGCATGGCATCGTGCAAGGATTTGAGGTTCTTACAAGTATTAATTCGAATCGATTGAAGAGATGGACAACTAAATTTCATACCCTCCTCCGCTTGTAGTGACTCCATCTTCGATAGATGAGCAATATCAAGTTGTTCAAGTGCAGAACGTAGCCCACCTCTGGACGATAAGTAGGTGAGCGATGGACAATTTTGAACCTTCATTTTCTGAAGACATTTCAGGGCATGCAGTTCCCCTGGCAGCTTCTCCAGCTTTTCACAATTATCAATTCCTAGATACTTAAGCCCCATTAAGTAAGGCAACCCCTCTTGCTCCTGCTGCTGTCGCTGCAACTGTGGACTATCTTCTTCTTCTTCTTCGAACAAGGAAATAAGTTGGGGGCAGTTTTCAATCTCCAAATGTTGCAAGGCAGCGGCAGGGCGTTTGTGCTGTAGCCTGACCTCATTCTGCCACAATGTTGTGAGTTCTTCACAATTACTTATCCTCAATTCTTGGAGTCCCGTAAACCCATGAAAGAACCATCTAGGCAGGCATGTGAGTTTCTGAATATTTTCAATTCTCATATCAGTCACTGAGCTCAAATGTTTACACGCTGCAGTTGCTAATACTTCATCGCCTACCTCTTGATTAGGAATAGAGTCCAAAATTGAAACATCACTGAGAGATAAGGAGGTGACTGAACTGAAGTGGAGGGTATTCCTCTTTTGGTGGAGCATTGTAGGGCTCGGAAGCCATTCAACCACCAACTGTGGGCAATTCTGAATCTCAAGTTTTCTTAAGCAAGGAAGACTGCTGGGCAATTTACCCAAAAGCTTGGGACAACGTTGAATGGAGAGCTCTGAGAGGTGAGCAAATGCTTGAACTTCCTCGTCAACTTCAAAAGGAGACCAATCCTCCCATTCCGGCATATCCCAAAAGTGTAAAGTCTCCAGAGCTGGAAAAGGGTTCGAGCAACCCCCTCCAAAGAAATCAAGGCCAACATTCGCTACTCTTTTCATTCCTCGAATGTAAAGTTTTGCAAGTGAGGGTAATTGCCCCAGAGGTGGTAAGCATGTGCATTTTTTTCACAATTTTTCAACCCTAACTTCACCATATTAGAAAACCGAGGATCTCCAACCCAAGTTGGAAATATTGGACCATAGTAACCACTGATGGAAAGTACTTTAACCTTCTTGTCCGGTTGTAGCTTGTCAAGCACTTCTAATTCAACCTTTTCATTTCGTGAATCATCTGAATTGATGTCACTCCATTTCATCAATAGCTCATCTAAGCCCTGTTTCTCATATAACTTGGCAGTCTTTGCATCCACAACATCCACCACATTATCTAACCCAGATATGCAAAGTGCCCCTCTAAGATGCATTAAGTTCCCCAACTCTCTTATCATAAACCCATTTCCTTTGCTAACAATGAAGTTTGATAATGTTCGGAGACTTGTTAACTGACCTATTTTTGGTGGCATTTCTTGTAAGGAATTTGCACCAGTAACGTCGAGATGACGCAAGTTAATTAGGTTTCCTGTGGCTGTAGGCAACTTCTTCATATGTATGCAATATCTTAATTCGAGTGTTTGTAGATTGTATAGAGTACATAGTGATTCAGGTAATGAGCAAAGCAGGGCATGAGAAAGATCAAGAAACCTCAAATGCTTTAAATGTCCGATCGAACTTGGCAGTTCAACTATTTTATATCCACCAAAACTAAGCACGCGTAAACGTCTAAGCTTTTGCAACAAATCATGGGGAACATTGCTGGTCAAATAAGCTTCTCCATAATATGCTCCAAATTGTACAAGGGTACGTAAATGCTTGGCATCATAAAAGGCCTCAAACTTTTTGATGCCGTCATATTTTTCCTGCTTGTAAGATGAATGGCGAGCCTTACTGATATTTTTGTACTGCTCGTTAACTTTCGACTTATCCTCCAGCCTAAAACAAACGGTTCCTGCAACAAACTGAGCGAGATCATTGATGAGGTCATGCATCACAAATTCTGAGCTTTCACCACTAGTTGATGGTTGAAAAAATGACCTGGACAACAATTCATGAAAGTACTCGCACCCAAGATCTTCCATTTGCTTCTTTCCTTTTGCTTCTGGTTGTTGAATGAAGCCTTCAGCCATCCACAATAAAACTAGACCTTCTTCACTAAATGTGATATTCTTGGGCATTATTGAACAGTATGCGAAACACTTCTTCAAATGTGAAGGGAGGTGATGGTAGCTTAACCTCAAAGCCGGAAGAATGTCACTTTCCTGATCTGATAACTCCCACATTTTACTATTCAATACATCTTCCCATTCATCGTCTCTTAGTTTAGACCGTAAAAGGCCACCGAGTGTCCTGGCAGCCAAAGGCAATCCTCCACATTTCTCAACTATTTTCCTACCAATTGAAACCAAATTCGGGCTTGCCTCCATAATTGTGTTCTCAAAAGCATTTTGTGCAAACACCGACCAACAATCATCCATTGATAATTGCTTCAAGTGATGATATTTCACAGTTCCTAGCATCAACGCAACATCTGTGTTACGTGTCGTTACCATGACTTCACTTCCTCGGGCTTCATCGTTGAAAGGACTCTTGAAACTGCTCCAATCACTGTGTTTTTTGTTCCAAAAATCATCTAAAACAATCAAGAACTTTTTCCCATCCAAAATCTGCTTTAGTTGGACTTGGACTTGATCCAAGGTATCAAAATTGCAAGGCTGGGAAGTGACGGACTCCAAAATTGCTTTTGTCACCCGCATAATATCGAAATCTTCAGAGACATAAACCCATGCTTTTATTTCAAAGTGCTTCCTGATCATGTCATCATTGTATACCATCTGAGCAAGGGTGGTCTTGCCAACCCCACCCATACCCACAATCGGAACTACCCCAATATTGCAATTGCTCGACTCCTCAACACCTAGTAAGAGCAACTTAATTATCTTCTTTTTATCCTCATCCCTGCCATATACACTAGGTTCATTCATCAAACATGTGGTGGGTGGTCTTTGCCAAGCTTTAGCAGATGTCCCTGCATTACTACTACCCACCTTTTGCAAGCCGAGCACAGTTCTACGTTCCAAAAGATCTTGGAATCGGGTAGTGATCTCATCTAATTTGACAATCTTGGTTGGAATTAGTGCACGTACCTTGGTAGTGATCAGCGACTTAGGTCGCAAAGCTTCGGTGGAGAACTCGTCGAGTATGTCATCGACGTCATAAGCCAAGTCCTGAAGATCTTCAAGCCAAATCTTAATACCTCTTTCGGTGACTTGCTTCTCATCAGCATCAACGAGAACTGCCTCAATTTCTCCCAAAGTTGTGCTCCATTTTGTCAACAGAGTACGAATTCGCCGCTCTCCGCCGAAGCCGCGTGCAAAGTTCGACAGCTCGCCGGCGGCTAAAGTGGCCAACTTCTCAAATAGAAACTTGATTGAAGCGGCGATTAAGAGCTCTCCGATAGCCATTGATTCCTGAATTTGTGAATAGTAAAGTAAAAACTCTGGAACGCACTCCCTACAATTCAAGAATAAAATAGTATAATTTCATATTATTTTAGTTTTAATTAAAATAAAAAATTGTCATAATTAAATACAACATAAGACATATAGAACTAAAGATCTCATAAGTTATAACAAAAATAATGTTATAATTAAAGAAAAAAATTAATCATAATTAAAAAAAATGATATAACTAAAAATACATATAATACATCCTTTTCAAGGGTGTATATATTAGAATTTCCCAAGTTATAAATGTTGCCTCCCCCAAATCAACTAGTTTGAAGAACTTTCACAATAATTTTGTCTAATTATTTTATATTAAATATTTAGATAAATAACACTAACACCGCTGAGGTTTGTCTAAATAACATTAATACTCCTGAAATTCTGAAATTACATTTCTCTCATAAGGTTAGAGTTGTATTGCAATTTCACCCTACTGAGGTAACCAATCATAATTTTTATGTTTGGTTACACCAGGTCCAAAATCACACTTCCATGCAAAATTCGATTTAAGCTGCAATACATTGGTGCCAAATCAACTAGTTTGAAGAACTTTCACAATAATTTTGTCTAATTATTTTATATTAAATATTTGGATAAATAACACTAACACCGCTGAGGTTTGTTCTAATAACATTAATACTCCTGAAATTCTGAAATTACAAATCTCTCATAAGGTTTAGAGTTGTATTGCAATTTCACCCTGCTGGTCCAAAATCACACTTCCATGCAAAATTCGATTTAAGCTGCAATACATTGGTGTACGTTTTGGATAAATTACGCTGAACAGTTTGATAAGGAACGAAGGAAGAGTGGTTGGTTTTGTATGATCATTGTTGGTATCCATAGAGTTACATTTCAAAAAGGTTTGTTTGATTCTTGTCAGTAAAAAATTATGGTGAGTCTTAATTGACAGAGACTTAATAACAATTTTAACTAAATAACTAAACAGAAAATTAAACGATTATGTAAAGGTTCTAAATGTCTTGAAAGTACAAAGATTTTTTTGAAACAATTAACAATTGAAAGAGTAAAGTATCCAAATAAATAAAGACAACTCCAGATGAAATTATCTAAGTTTACAAGAATTACAAGTTACAAATTATAGAAAAAACTACTCTTAAGTTAAGATAATCTACTCCTAAAGATAAAGAAAAAAAAACTATGGTAAATTTGATGATTTGTTGGACCCTTCTCCAATCTGTCTTCAACTATCTGTAGAGTAACAATTAACAATTTTCTATTCGAAGTATAACTGCTAGAGGCAATTTGGCCATGAAACAAAATCAAGACATATTCCTTACAAAGTGCCACAAATTGCCACACGTTGACAACTTGCCCCCATTTTCTAAGCCTATTTCATCACCTGTAATCCATAACAAAACAAATAATAATAATAATAATAATAATAATAATAATAATATGGTCATAGTAGATCTTTAAAGATGATTTATGGTCTCAATTGATAGACCAAAATCAATAAGATTATATTTGGATATGATCGACAGGCCACAATTGACAGGCCACAATCAATAAAATTATATTTGGCCACAATCGATTAGCCACAATCAATAAGATTAGATTTGGCTACAATCAATAGGCCTTAATCGATAGAAAAATATTTATGGTGCAAATAATGCCTCCAACTCTTTAAGAATAAGAAATTTCGAATTCTTGAAGATTTGTATATAAAATTGATTAGGCCTTGACCTTTTTACTAAACAAACATATATAAAATATATATTGTGAGACCTGTATAAACCACTTTTTACCAACAACAACTATATTCTTTGGTCTTATGTTATTCAAACAATGTTGGATCTTTTGCCAATTCACCAAAATTAAGTTTTGGTGTGATCCACAAACCCAAATGGGTGTTGCATGTCATAACTCATGGTTTTGCATGGCTCAAAAATTCTAAAAAATTTCATATTTTGAACAATGTCAAAAATATTAAATTTATCATGTACATAAGGTTGTTCATCATTTTTAGTCATTTTATACTTTAAACCATGCCCTCCAATTGAGTCTTCATCATTATTTTGTGATGAGTTTTTAATATTGTAATTAAAATTGTGTAATTAAACAAGATAAATAGATTTATGATTTATTAATTTAAATAATAGAACATTAAATAAATCCATATTTGATAAATTACATTCTAAAGTATGAAACATGAAGAATAGAAATAAATATTTAATCAAAATATTGGAAAATAAGGAATCAAACCAAATTCTGTGTAATACCATAGTGTCCTTAAAACAGATTAGCTGCCTCACTATGAGTGTTGGAGGAACGTCAACTTCTGTCTCCCAGGATAAGATAGTTTAGACCGACTAACGCAGAAGCACCTTCTGCTAGCTTTGGCGAACCGACAATGACAGCACTCTCTTAACACAGGAAGAAAATTATAAGAGGAAGTAAACTAATTGTATCTGGAAGGCAAA